AAAAATAAACATAACATTATGGAATTTGAAGCTTGAGAAGAGTGTTCTCTTAAGGAGAATAGAGGGAGAAGGGGTTGTGTTTGGGTTGAGCTGTGTCCTCCCCAAATTACTATGTTAATGTCCTAGTCACCAATACTTCAGAGACAGGGCCTCCAAAGAAGTAAATAAGGTCAAATGAGGACATCTGGGTATGTCCTAATCTGATATTATTGTTGCTTTTATAAAAAGTGGAGATTTGGATACAATTGTACAGAGAGACCGTATTAGGATACAGGGAGAAGATAGATATCTATAAGAAAAAAGCAGAACTCAGAGAAGGCCACCCCAATGGATACCTTGACCTTACACTTTGGCATCCAAAACTGAGACAATGACTTTCTGCTATTTAAGCCACCCAGTTTGTGGCACTTGGTAAGTTCAGTCCTTGCAGACCAGGGTAGGCTATGTCACCATAGCCTATCTTAGATAATGTCCCCCAAACCACATGTAGAAAAGTATTAACAAAAACACCAAGGTGCAATGYTGTGCCTGCATAATTCACCATTTGATGCTCCCTGTTGAACACTGGCCTTGTCTGGGGCTTTGAATAGTGCCTTCTCAAAAGAGTCATCCAGAAAGAAAGTTAGTTGAGTCTGCAGAAGGGAWGGATAACTGGGAGGCAGAGATTGGATTTAGGATTTTTCAGAATGTACCTGACAGTTAAAGTCACAAGAATGGACCAAGCCATTGAAAGGGGGTGTGATGGACAGTCTGCTGTATCCTCTCAGCCAGGCTGTGACTAGGTCTTCCAAACACCTATCTGAGTGTTGCTGTGAAGGTGTTTTCTGCAAGCGATTAAAGGACATAATTAGCTGAGATCATTCTAGACCTTAGGGAGATCATCCTAGGTCATCTAAGTGGGCTTGATATATCAGAAAATAAACCTTATGAGCAGAATTGGGGTTTGCTGGGGAAGAAATTCTACTTGTGGATATCAGCCTGTACTTTCCAGCTCTCTGAAGCCTGTCCTTTACGGATTTTGGATGTGCCCAGCCAGCTAGCTCCACAACCATGTAACCCAATTCCTTGCAAGACATCTCTTAGCATGCATGTCTACTACTGGTTCTGCTTAGCTGGTTGAACCTTGTCTAATACAAAGAATATGTCAAGTGGGGACATAAGACAGCTGAGAAGACCCTAGGAAAAATATCAGAGGAAGAGGAATATGTGAAGYGAAGCCAAGAAGATGAGGGGGAAACTGAGGAATGAGGGTTTTCAGAGAAACCCAAGGTTGGGCAAAGCATGCCAGACCTCCATAGATGTCAGGCACCAGCCAAACTCCAACAAGCCTCTGAAACATAAGAGCCATAACTTTGGCACAGGAGTCTCAAGCAAAGCAACCAAGTGAAACCATGAAAAAGAGGAATGGGGAAGACAATGAAACCAAGAGGATAAATTATTCCTCCAAGAAGTCCGCCTATCTGCAATGCACAGGATGATAAAGGACATTAGCTAGAGGAACTCAGAAGAATGGAGGGTTGGTGGATATTGAGCATGTTCATGTGCTGAATGGACAAGAGACAGTGGACAGGAAGAGATTTCAGATAGAGTAAAAGGAGATAACTGGATAGCAAAGCCTCCAGAGGATATGAGGGTCAAAACACAGGAACTGGTATAGAAATAAAGAAATTCTTMCCCTGAGATGGAACAGAATGTAGAGAGGGTAGATATCAATATGCACAGGAGAAGAGACCACAGAAACTGAATTCTCCTCCCTCAGTGACCTACTGGTTAAGGTCATTCATTAACTGTTAAAAGAGAATATAGTCAGATGAAAAGTTTGGAAACCAGTGCATATTTAATTCTGGCTTCCATTTTTATAGGAAATGGGAGAAGGAATTGGCTCATGTTAGAAAATAGGATAGAGACATAGAAAAACAAGAGTGACCTTAGTTTGTTTAATCTGCCCTTGATTTGGACTTCTCATCTGTTAAATGGGTATTGTAATAATATATCTATTTCTATTAAGATTAAATAAAATAATTCCCATGAAGTAGGTAGATTTACCTATATGACATCATGTTAAGCATTCATTAAATTTTAATCATCCTTGTTAATGCAGGAGACATTTGTTAAGCATGGAAAGTTGTGGTAAAGGTAGGAGACTGKATGTTTAAGATATCAGATGTAGGGCTTCCTGCCAAGGTCCAGGGTACAGGTGTGCTGGACAAGAGTGTTTACTAAAGTTTAACATGGCACTAGGAACCTGCGAAGCATACCCAAGGGCACATCCAAGGATCACAGCTCCCAAAGTCTGGCAAGGGGAAGAGGCTTGAGTACATGGATTTTAAGGTATTAACAGTGAAATGTAGATGTGCCCTAATATTAGTGGGTCATGATTGTTGGTGCACAGTAAATGATGAGAACCCTTGAAACTTTATCTTCAGAAGACACTGGGCAGCATTCCCAGGTGCTCAMGGTGGGAAAAACTACTTGTAAAGCAGGTCTAAAAATAGTCATCAAGCTCTAGTTTTCCAAAGCTCTAGTTCCACAGTTCTGATTTTCTCCCCAAGTTGGAGCTTTCCATCCTAGACCTATAACTGCCCTTCATTTGAGCATCTAATTGTCACCTCTTAAAGGATTTTCTTTAAAACTGAGTTACACTAGGAAATTTTTCTATGTATAATATTTTAAAGTAGTGTCTTTCTCAAAACTGATGCTCCATCTTTTCAAGCAAAGTGGTCAAGCCCCCAATTTCCATTAGAAGAAGGGCATGTRGATTCCACACTTGACTTGGCTCAGTCCTGAAAAGCATATCAAACCTCCTTCTCGTTGCCCTCTCTTGAATCATCATCCTATTCTTCTCCTGAGCTAACTAAACACAAGCCCGTCACCTTTTCTTCAAAGRTTTTATTTTTCAATTCTTGAATCATCTCTCAGCATGAACAAATTCTAAAAACTTTTTTTTTTTACCCTCTTGGCTATGAATTTAAGTGAACTGTCATACCTGGCTTTCCAGAGTAGCAGTGTAACACTTCATTTTCATTTATTGTCATACTTAACCTCTAAATAGTGAGAATGTGGTAGGAGACTGGATGACATTGTTCTGTGAACTACTTTTTAAAATATTTTTAGCTGAATTTATCTCCATCTAACAAATTTYAATGGTGGCTATCTTTGGGAAGTCTATCCAATAAAGTCCTATGTAATCTGCAAGAATTCCTTTCTTCCTCCCAACATGTCTATCTTTGCACAGAGCATCTAAGTGCTGCTTTAGGATTCTCCATTCTTTTTAATTCTAGTCTACAGCCWTTTAAAACATTGAAGAGCAGCTAGGAAGCTCTTTTCAAACTCAAGATTTCAGGTACTCATTCGAGTAACAATAAGATGTACCTGTTTCACTTAAGCACTTGATAKGGGATGAGTAGAAACAGAGGAGATGTGTTTGTCAGAGTCCTCTTTTTGTATAATGTTTCATTACCAAAAAAAAAAAAAAAGGACCTCTATACCAAGATCTCCTAAAATTTTTAATTACAATGTAGAATACAGTTGTCTGTTCTTTTGTGTAATTTTCTCTTTGAATGGAAACCAGTCCTGAAATTACTAATGACTTGGACCAATGATTTGTCTTTAACATATTTTCTCATATTCTTTACTCATCACATAGAAATTGCTGTGAAATGTGATAAGCAATGTGGAAACTAAGGGTAGCATGCTACAGCGTCTAACTATAAAGTGAGCTTTATAATATGTATTTAAAGGCTTAACTGATGATTTTTAACTTCTGAATATAGATGGAGATAAAAGACCTGACATTTCAAAGCTCCCTCCCCAYCAAAAAGATAAAGAGGAAATTTAATTATGGTGACTTTCCAGTAGAAAGATTCATGCTACTGTAGATATTGTTTTTAAAGTTCACATTTAAAGGCTCTGCCTCAAAACTAAAGTCAACATGAAGGTGAAGAAAAGAAGAAGGAGAAGGGGAATAGGAATAAGAAGAAGAGGAAGAAGAAGAAGAGGAGGAGGAAGAAGAAATAATTAGTTCTTCATCCTTTCAATGTCCTTAATCAGGGCAACTTGCCTCCTCCATTTTTAGGGACAACAGGAAGGAATGTAAGCTTTCTTATACACTTTCCAAGGTGTATTTCCTAAGCAGTTTGTCTCAAGAAAGTGAAGCACATATATCTCAAAAGGCATACATAACAAAGTACATCTTTTCCCTTTTCTTTCTGTCTATTTAAAATTAAGAATCAGTTTACTTACCAGAAATTTAGCACATATGTGGATATTTGGAACTTTATTGGAAGTTAACATCAACAAAATTCCACAAAAGAGCAATAAAATAAAAACCTTCAATATCTCATCGTGGGGCAAGAAACAGCAAAGCAATTTTAAAAATATCGCCACAGTCCACAGTTTAGAGGATGAATATTAGTTGGCTAATTTACAAAAGTCACTGATAGTGTAAAGATATGAAGCATTTTAGTACTAAAAAGGCTCCTATATGGAGTATTATAACCTTAAATAGAATATTAGGTTTTGTTTGTTTGTTTGTTTGTTTCATAAGCCATAACATCAGTCTGATGAGTCACAGAAAATTCTGAATTGCCTTCAGTGCACTTGGTGGGCCTGAAATTCATCTTAAGAAATATTTAAAGGGCAAACAAAGTGCTGCAAACTGGAGCAGGCAACCAGGTAAAATGCCACGAAAACCATCTGGCTTCTTGATCAAGAGACATTGACCATACAGTCTGAACCTTGGTACCTTCACACACACTGTTTTCAGAGGGTTTTGGCGCCCTGGGATGGGGAGCGGGGTAGGTCTCTCTTAAATCCTGGAGGCRCTTCAGGCCTGCAGTCCCCCACTAAAAATCCTTCGCCTGTTTCAAGAAGCCACCCTCTCAGAATTTCCTGAACCCTGCACAGAGGAGTCCCCCACCACCAGGCTGGCTGCTCCAGGATCCCGCTGCTTCCCTCCCTGCCTCGYCCTGTCTCCACCACGCCCTGACCCCGGTGCTCACCGGATGATCACGAACATCACCAGCGAGTTGCCCACCAAGCCCACGACGAACACCACAGAGTAGACCGCGGTGATGATGACGGGGATGGCGGGGGAGATGTGCGCGGGCTCCAGCTGAGCTTCCTCGGAGCCGGCGCTGCCGTTGCCTGACTCGGCCCAGCCGGGGAACCAAGCGCTGCTGTTGGGGAGCAGGCAGGCGCTGGGGGCGCAGGTGGGGCCTGGCTCCCCACGGAAGATCTGGACCGGTGTCTCCATTGTGGGGCGGCTGCAGCTGGAGGCCGAGGAAAGGTGGGCACCTGCGTGGCTGTGGAAGCGAGAGGACACGTTGGACCCGGAGAGGCAAACTTTGCCCGCGCGGGGGCCAGCGCGCAGAGGCTGGCAGCGCTGGAGACCAGCAGCCCCAAGGATGCTCAACCCGTCGCACATTCCCCCGGGGGGCGGGATGGGGAGGACAGACCTCCCTGCCTTCCCAGTCAGCTGACGCCCGGCTTGATGACCCGCAGGGGTGGAGAGAACTCGCTTCTAAGATGACCCCCMGCCAATTCCTAGGTACTTTCCACTGGTAGAACTGTCCGCAGACTGCTGATCTGAGTTCCAAGGACAAGGGACGCCTCCCCCCCCTCCTGCCCAGAGCACAGAGTCCTAGCTGGGACTGCGCCTCCTAAGCCCAAAGCTCACCTCTTGTTCCCAGTGGCAAACGAAGTAGTCGCTGTGGAACCGCGCGTTCCCAGGTCTGGCTCAGCCTTCGGGGTCTGTGTGCACCTGTCGYCCGGCGTCACTGGCTCTTGGACCTCTCTGACGCTCTGAGTAGAGCGCGTTTTGCCAAACACGGTCCCGGTCTCTACTGCTCAGTGCGGGGCTCCCACTACTGGAGGCAGTTGAGGGGGACTGGAAGCAGGTAGGATGAGGCCAGGCACTGGGTACCCGCTGGCTGAGAGCCGGGCTCTGGCTCCCSCCCGAGGCCCGCCCATCGCGCTCGGCCCCGCCCACTCAGAGCTACTCCCCGCCCCCCCCAGCCCAGCTGCCCTAGGAGAGCCCCGCAGACTCAYCCTGAGCACTAACTGCCTGCCTAGAGGCGCACACTGCCTTGTTTTAATGCTTCTAAAGCCTCCCCAGTGACCTAAGTCTGAGCTCTGGGTCATTTACATTCAGTAATAGGAAGGGGCATGCTTATTTAGTGCCAGTGTTCATCTGGATAATTCATAATGTGCTTAGAATTTATTGTCTGACACATCTTTTTTTTTTAATGAGAAAAGCTATGGTAATTTCATCTGTATTTTGTTTGTTTGAGTGATTCATATAAAGTTGTGAAATAATCCAGTTAGAATAAGACCAGGTCCTAAAATATTAATGATTTCAGGTGCATACGTAGAATTGGCTGTGCATTTTGTAACTTTCAGTCTGCCTCAATTGGAGTGGCAGGCTGCCCCTAAACTGCATCTTATAGGTACTAACTGTATAGCCTGTTATTACCTGCCAAGACAAAACACTGTCCTTACCCAGGCCTCATTCCTGGTCCTGGAGGGTGATGGTGTTTCTCTCCCCTACATTAATCCTGGAAGCCATCACACTGTCCTTCTTTACTCTAAAGCCCAGAATTTAACCTCTGTGGAGAAACTCAGTCACCACAATTTCTTGTATGACTGTGCCAGTGCAAGAATTACTGCCAGATTCAGCTGGGTGAAAGAGGCCCTGGGGCAAAGGCAGGGATCCAGGACTGTCACTAAGGTGAAGATTGGCAAAGAAAGTGGGGACATTCCCCTTTCTCATTGGGTATTGGAGGTGGGATAGGAGAACAAGGACTAGGCAGTGAATTTCCCAAGTGGATTCACTGTCTTAACCTAACAMACTGTTTTCCATAGTTCAAGTTCAAGATCACACCTCAGCACTCTAAAGGGCTCGAGAGACCTTCCCTTCATCAGCTCACAGTAGAAGAGGGCTCCTAGTTCTTTCAAGACACCCTGACCCCAAAGGAGATTTGGTCACCAGAAGTTTCCCACAGCCTTAAAATGCACAACTCTTTGGAGAAGTATGATGTGAAGAGCAAAAGAAAAGCGTCCCTTTGGCCAACGGTATCACTTCAACTTTGAGTTTCAAGATTATCAAATCTTGTATCCTTTGTCTGTTTGTAAATTCTTTTTTTTTTTTTTTTTTGCTGGGGGAGGGGGTTACTCCTGAGCTGCTGGGATTACAAGCCTGCACCACGGTGCCCTGCCTATGTACAAATTCTTACTGGAAAGTACCATGTTTTTGAAAAATAATCAGCCCTTCTGGAACCTCCATGTATCTAGGGGTGACTTCTCCATAAGGAAGATGACAAACAGAATCTTACCTCCTATGGCTAAAGACTAACTTCCTGTTAGAATGATCCTATGCTATCACCAAACTAGCCAAGCAAATTCGTTTCATTTGGAATTAGCAAAAACTGAATAGTACTAGAGTTGAAAAGAAGGTAAAAATAGTTTGTCAATGAAAACTATTGGGAAATCCAAAATTACCCATGTATCTTTTCAACTGTTACTTATCTATTTATCTATGATCTCGTGCATTAAAGACACAACTGTCTTTGTGGTACACACTTTTGAAAGTGTGCCTATCTTTCTATTGCACTCACTTTCCACAGTGGTTGTTTTCTTTATTTAGCACACAGATAGGTGGTTCACACAGCTAGATCTGGGTTCAAACTCATATGTTCCATATGTGCAAACACGGTTCTTGCCTTGTGCCTATTGAACAGAACTGTTTCATATAAGGAGACAAATGCAGACCCCATATGCCCCAAGCGCAAAACAAATTTAGGAGGGAGGTATTTAACAAAGAAAAGAAGAAAGGAAAATGTACTACTTTAAATGATTTAGGTAAAGTTTTACAATTGTAAAAAATTCTAAGAGTCGGACAATACAATTCTATCAATTTAAATTCTATCTCCTTTTCTCATGTATATAGTTGTCCCTCAGTATTCTCTGAAGATTTGTTCCAGAACCTCCACAGATATCAAAATCACAGGTGGTTAAGACCTTTATATAAAATGGCATAGTATTTGTATATAAGCTATGCCCTCTTCTAAGCTTTAAATCATTTTTAGGTGACATAATATCAGACATAATACAACTGTATGCAAACAGACTGTATTGTTTAGGGAATAAAGACAAGAAATAAAAAGTCTGTATGTRTTTAGTAAAACCACAATTTAATATGTATGTATTTTTCAATCTGCAGTTGGTTGATCCACAGATACAGCAACCATGTATAGGGAAGACAGACTGAACATAATGAGTATGAAAGGGTTTCTCTGGAATATATTTCTATAACTAAAGCAGGATGCAGAACTCAGCCAGGACTTCTAAAATGTAAGAAGATGTCCTAATGCTGATSATTGGTAAAGAAAACTCTACTAGTTGAGATAGTCTTTTGAAGATAAAATAACACTGATTATAATAAAAGTGGTTTTGTTTAATTTATRTACCCCTAATTTTCTCCCTTTTTCTTAACCAAACTAATGGCCAAAATAAACTGAAGTCAACATGGGCAGAGCATTGAGATGCCTTGAAGCGACTCTGGTTGCCAGGGGAACCCGCCAGAGTCTTCGAGTTTGCTAAGTGTGGCTGTTTCTGTGGTGTCAGATAAACTACTAAAATGCCATGCACTATTATATACTGATATAGAGCCTGGACGATAAACTCAGTAGGACTTATGTCTGCTTGCCATTCTACTCAATACAAATAGCTTCTAACTACAAGGAAAGCATTTTAAAAAGCAAAAAATGTTGACAGATTTTTATTGGTTAATGATACCACGCATCTTAGGTGCTGAGCAGCTCTGGCATTTCTGTCAGAGGACTAAATAACTCACCAGCCAACCATGATTTATTTGCTTTCTTGTGGCTCTGTGGACAGACGCAAATGTGTGTCAAGTTGAAAGGAGCAGCCCTGTTTGCTTAAAACCCCAGGTTTAGCCACCACAGGACACTAAGCCAGGACGYAGCCAGTCTCAACACATATTGCTAACTGGACCCAAGTGGCAGAATTAAAGGCAGGCTGTGCAGTTRAAACAACATCCAAGACAAAGTCAATCTCTTCTCAAAGGGAAGGTGCACTCAGGCATGAGAGAGAGAATCTAAATGTTCAAAATTTTATGAATAATTAATTAAAAATTAAATAAAGGCAACTCTGGTCTCTGTTATATAGGCAAAGTTTTAAGAAGAAAAAATAAATCAGAGTGACAGTCAATGCATCAAGTTTGTGCACAWTTGAAAAACAGTTCTGCCTCTTGGAGACATGTTACATACACTTGTGGGTAAGTTGTCATCACAAATATTTAAGTTAGACTTCTTTGGAGTGCAAATATCCTGTGAGAAATTGTACATRTGGCTGGTGTACCATCTGCACATACGTACTGAAGGCCTGAAGATGCCAGGTAACCACAGTCAGTGACAGGATCAGGGGTGTTCTTTCTGAAGAAGTGGCATTGAACTTGACATGTAGTTGTAATTGTTATTACCCAAGTGAAGAGGTGTTGGAGGGAGGGGAGGTAGAGAACCATTCCAAACAGGGAACAGCACTTGTGAAAGAGATAGGTGGGCAAGAATTGAGTCTGTTTGTGGCACCACAGTCAAGGTGTCTGAGCCTGATGGTCAAGAACAGCAGGTGTAAAGTAAGATGGCACATCCTATTGGCTTGCCAACRATTTTGACTTCAGTGACAGAATAAGAGAGAGCCACTGAAGAAGTTGAGACAGGAGGGAGACAAGCTCCGATTTGAGTTTTTGACATCGCTTGTCTTTAGTGTGGCRAAGGTACTGGAAGGGAAGAGAGAAGAGAGGAGTTCCATATTGAATCAGCATTGTTCACTGTTATTGCTAAAAGCCACCGTCGTATGATATACAGTGTATAAATGAGGGGTAAAATAAAAACTCTTACCTGGGGACAGAGGCTGTGCTAGATGGCCAGTGTGAAAGACCCTTGTCTCTCTATTCTGTCCAGAGGCCATTCCTCAGTTTATATCACAACTTTAGGAAAAGAAAAGCCCGGCCCTGCGGCCAGCATTGGGATAGGAGAACTGCACTCCTTGTGGGGGAGGATGCATTTGCTTTCTCTTTCCGTCAATGTCCAGTTCTCAGCCTTTGTGCTGTTTGGGCATCCAGAATTCAGCTCTGGGGCAGGAAGGCACCATTTTTCCAGTTTCCCAGAACCATGTGGGCTGGATATCCTCAGGTTGCCTGTTTCTCCACTCTCCACCTTTTCACCCTGCTCTGTGTCCAGGAAGGTTCTCATTAGCTCCGGACAATGGGAGACACCTGATAAGAATCCA